GAAGTGTACGATGAGCATCATGAAAAGTCAACCCAGTTGTGCTCTGAATTGATGAGAACTCAAAGCTAATAGGTTTACTTCTTTTGGAGTTAATTTTTTTCCGTAAATTGACCTGATTTTTATTCAAAATTTGAAATATATTGGTGAAATACGCTATATACTGCAGTATGAATTTATGACGAGCTAATTGAAGACGAATCTAGTACAGTGCAGCGAAACAAATAACGAAGATTCCATATCGGAGTTATGTGTCTTATTTATCCACTCTTTTCTTAGATCCTCATAGCAGAGCTTTCATAAATAAAGGTAAAATTATATTTGTAGTTGTTGCGATAAAAATAGATACACCGAGCTCTTTGAGTTATATAGTTTACTGTATTATAGATACTGTTATTTTGATGAAGTCATGAGTCAGCCTGCTTAGTAAGTAAAAATACTAACAACATATAGCATATTCTACATTATTCTGCATAGATGAACGTTTACTTTTCGCCATAGTTATAATCTTAGCAATAACTTGATTTAACAAATGTTTTCCAGTCACAGATAAACTTGTCCCTTACCAAATATTCGTGTTTTGACTTTTTTGCCTCGTCCCAAAGGCTGAAGCCTGAATATAATAGTAATAAAATAATATGAGAGTAGCTTATGAACGGAACATGTTATACATATTTGTTTGCATCTGTAATTAACTCAAGCGAGTATATGTATAACGAGTAGAAGACTATTTTGGAGTTAATGGAAGTATGGGATTCCTTGAAATCACAGGCAGTTACTTGATAGTATTTGAATCAGTAAGACTCTTTCTACGTATTCAAAAAAACAGGATATTAGATTATTTTATCATTTCATGGCATATATATATATATATATATATATATATATATATTAAATAAGCCTGGAAATATATTTTCCCTTGTTTGAGATTTTCATTTTTATTGTCATTGTGGCTCGGTTAAAATTAAATGTTCGATCATATGAGTATGCAATCTAGATAGAATATTTACATCTAAATAAAATACCGATATAATGTTAATGCTAAAAATGATGACTCTTGGGGATGACCAGCAATTTGGTCTTCCCCGAGAGTCCTACAAACGTTATTGTGAAACTTAATATTTCTCACAACACTTAAAAAATCGGTCACGGAATCAACTAAGCAGCACAATGCCAGCTTGTTTCTCCGTATATTAAGTTTTTTTTTAATTGCTGATTTCAAAACGCATATATATATATATATATATATATATATATTTTTTTTTTTTTGCTAGACAATTAATTTTTGCTTTGTTCGGCATTGAATTTGCTGGATGTTTTTTTTTTCATAACAAGGATACATTTCTTTTTCAACTGGGCAATTGTTACAAGGATTCGCATAATTTTTATGTTGTTTTTGTTTGTTAAGAACGCATACCGAAGCGATCCAATTTGGTCAATGTCTCTTGGTAATTCTTCACATAACCAAAGTTAATAAGTGAGCAATAAGTTCATTATATATTTCGGTAGAACGCACTTGATATTTGTCGTTCGACAAACATACTGTCTCTTATAGTAAACAGGTATTATATACCTACCAGATATAGTAACTAACCATTGTTGGTGGCTTAGCTTACCACGGATAGCTTGCTATTCCTTGAGGTTTTAGCTCTAACAAGATAACATCATCGTACTGAAAAATCCAGATTATTTTAAATAATCTTCTTACCTTGGAAAAATTTGAAGTTGATCTGCCTTATCGCTTATGAAAGGTCTTACCGTTACTCCCCCTCCGGGCTTATTTCTGGGGTTCATAGAGCTGCTTAGCGATATATATTGAAGCTTTCTGAAGAACCCTATAAGAAAATAAAAATTTTGACTCGATTACTTTATTTTTATCTTTACTATTATTTTAGCGATAATTCGAAGAAATATTTTGAATAGTACTATGAATTCTGGGTCATTAACATAAAGCTTTAGAAAGCTGACAATGAAAACTTGAGCTCTTAGTCTCTCACGGACATGTTTTTATTTTTATACTTATTTTAGGTCGTACAATGAGGAAAATTAATAGGTATTCCTTTGGCCTATCACTAATCGACACCTATTATCGTTTATATAATTAACGAAGTTGGTTTCAATTCAGCCAAGTTCAATACTGCTGACTTGGTATTGGTGATGTAATGCACATTACGAGCCATCATTTGAGCGTAATCGTCGTTTGTATGAGTATTGTGTGAGTAAAGTGCTATTTTTCTAGTTGAGTGCCAATATGTATGTAATATATAATATTCCAGCTGTAAAATGTTGAGCTAAGTCTGAACTTTTTACTTATCAACTGGTACACGAGACGCTATTCTGTTTATTCAGGTTCGAGTTCAAGTGTGTTTTTATTTCCGTTTGTAAAGGCTTCATCGTGTCACGTTATAATTAGAGTGATGCATATATATATATATATATATATGTCAGCACCGCATCTGAGCGTTTAAAGGGATTATCCAACAGTTGTAGTGAATATTTGCATCGAGAATATTATCTGGTCTATTTGTGTGCCACCGAAATAAGTCATTATTGCGTAGAGTCTCATAGAGCTTATTTGGTTTACGGTTGTTGCGCACGTTGACGACCCTGTAGTTATTACAGAGCACTCCGTTGACGTCACCCTTCCTGCTTCTATCGCCTTCCCGTCGTACCGACAAATAAGTAAACTAGGGCTAATTACTCTCAACCCCTTGTTATTGATGCACTCCGCTGTAGTAGCTTTTAGCACTAGACCATTTTACAAACACTTTTTACATATTCGTAGGGTCTGCCACTTAATCGGTATTATACGATGCGGTGGAAACAATGACATCCGTCGGAGAACACGCGCTATTCACTTCATGCCAATTACGCTGACATTGTTTACGCCAATTCTTGTTTGGTTTGACAAAAGTTTACTGAATCGCATGGCACAAGAAATTATGCATGGATTATTTTCGGGCCTTGTCGAATATAAATTTGGCTTCAACCAAATCTTGTTGCAAGTCGCTGTGGCATTTATGTTAAGAAGGATTTGAAAACCAGGATGAATGTTTGCAAGGGTTTATTGATTGCGAATTGTTTAATATTTACCCAGTTCCATACAACCGTCTGAATACTGCGTGGCTTTCAGATTATAAGGCAATGTACCCATTTCGTGGAATAATTTCAAGTGTATTAATTTGTCTAAAATTTTTTTCACTACAGCATCAGATGGAATCTCTTTTACTCTAATAATGCAACGTTAGGCTGTGCCAACACTAGGTATTTATCGATATGTGAAGGAAAAACTGAAAAGCAGAAGTTCGACTCTTAATATGTAAGCCCCATACTAGTACCAATTCAAGTGTAGAATTTAGTCGCATAGACATCCCTATCCGCTTTGGGAAAATTAGAATGACCTCTCGGACGTTTTATTGATGCTTTGTTCATAAACTGCCCTTACAACAACAACAAGTTTTGCAGACCAATCGCGCTTTTAGATAAGAATACGAGAACTTTACAAGCAAATATTGAGAAGCCTGCTCGTGATATTTTAAGGACCCCGAATAGTACCTTGATTTATTAACAACAATAGCTACAATTTTTGCCGCTTATTCGAAAAGATCATTGCTTGCTTTGGTTTTGTTTGCTTAATACTGTGGATGCTTGGTCCACCTTCTTTAAATAGCTGTAGGTATTATCCACTAGTAGTAAACGTACCGCTTAAACTTCTCGGGTTCATACATTGCTTGTTGTCCTGCACTATGGTACTCGAGGATGGTTTTCTTGCGTCTATAATTGCGAAATATATCTGATTTAACTAAGGTGACACTGAATGCCGTGCCGATCAAGGGCATATAGATCGATATTAGATGTCCCATCGTAGTTAGGCGGTGTCCAGAAAGTGCTAGAAATTTTTTTACAATCTTATAAATTATATCTTCTATGCCCGCTTACTCTACTTTGATTGGAGCAAATTGCTGTCCTATACCATGTGTTCCAGGTAGCGCAAGCATACGTTTTGCTTTATATGAGTTTACTTGTATATATCATGAGATAATTGATGCTTCTCATAACAGATGCTATCTGTGTTGATATATCCAACTACACTGCGCGCTACAATAGTGTCTAGTACTGCGTGTTCTGCCACTTGGTAGTAGACGTCAACCATTCTATGAAAAAGTTTGAAGCTGTAACAAGTATAGATCACCACTATGTCGTTTTAATTATCTGTTCATCAAAAGCAAAAAGAACTAAGTTATTTTACAACTGCATTAACCGCGATGCTAGTGTCTGCGTAACGTTTGATTCGCTTTACACACTGCGTCGGTCGGATGCACCAAGCACTGTTTCTCTTCATTTCCAAGAAAACGTTTATTATCAAACGTTTATCAAAAAAATTAATGATAACGATCTATTTTTCTTGTTTCTTATAATATTTCCTAATAACGGAGCCTTCCTGCAAATATAATAAAGTATTAGCATTGCTGAGTCATTGTAAATTGTCATATTGCTCATTTGTAAGGTTTTTGTTTGATACAAATTAAATTTACTAAAGGGCCAATTTAGGGGAACGCCAGAAAATGTTTGATACCGTTTTTGCCGGAGCAAAGAGCGTAGAACATTACAGCACGTACATCCGTCAACTAGACTTCAAATCGCTGCCCAGGAATCTGTCTTAGGCCTAGATATAACGAATAAAGCAGCACTGTGGCATTGATACTACATGTTGGCTCAGTGATACCATGACTTATGTAGCTTATTTTCGGTAAACAAGCCTGGGTATCAGGCGAATGGATCATCGGATGGTAGGAAGTAAAACTTGTGTCTGGCTAACCTTTGTTCCTGTTTTTTGTATATAATAGATGAAAAATTCATATGACGTTTAAACTGATCGAAAATAGCGTATAAAATCTATCTATTATTAGAGAATCTAAATTTCTTGATATATGCTACCATTTATTTAAGGGTAAAGAGCTCGTTTTGGTAAGTCAAATGTCGACGCATTATTGTGGTTACAGAACAAGCTACAGATGGATCGTTAGCGTCTGAAAATTGGGCCCTCAACATGGAAATTTGCGATATCATTGCAGACACCGATGAGGGCCCGAAGGATGCGGTGAAAGCTATTCGAAAGCGATTGATGACTAATGCAGGCAAAAATTACACAGTCGTCATGTACACACTTACGGTAAGTACCTAAATCATAGAGGCGTCTTTGTTTCGAGTATGTATGTGATCTATAATGATTTGCGGTCGAGAAATCTGTGTAAACGTCTTGTGCTTTAAAAAACTTAATTGTGTAATTTATCTCAACAAAACGATTGAATTGATTTGATTTGCATAAATTTTTCATTGCATTAGTCATACCTACATTTAACTACTCATATATTGTATGCAATTTTGGGTGCAACTCGCAGGTGTTGGAAACGTGCGTTAAAAACTGCGGCCGACGCTTTCACTTAGTGGTGAGTCAAAAAGACTTCGTTCAAGACCTGTTTAAACTGATAGGACCTAAAAATGATCCGCCTACAGCGGTTCAAGAGAAGGTTCTATCACTCATCCAGAACTGGGCGGCGGCATTCCGTAGTAATCCAGAAATGCAAGGCGTCGTTCAGGTGTATAACGACTTAAAGGCCAAGGGTGTTGAGTTTCCCGCCGCAGATCTTGAGACGATGGTGCCTATTCACACCCCGCAGAGAAGTGTACTACCGCAGGTCAGCCTACGCAACATAGAATATAGCAGCTCACTCATATTCATCATTTGTGTACCTAAACTGTTAAGTTACTCTACCCGATTTCAAATTATACAAGTAAGTTTTTCGTAAAGTCTTGGTGGCCGAAACACCTTGGATTTATTCAAGCTAAAGGCACTTGTTCTGTCTGATGGAATTATTTATTCATACACTTATCTATGTTCATTTTGCATTGATACATACACTTGAGACAAAGTAGACCGACTCCCGAGTATCATCCGTTTCATCAGTACGAATGACGGGTTCGGCAATGCACGGCGAACTTTTACCGTCGACCCCAATACCTCTAAATCGCGAGCAGACAACTAAACTCCTTCAGGAGTTTGTGGCCGTTCGGCGAAATATGCAGGTAATTATCCCATGTAATCATGCGCAGTTAGATATTTACCTAATGTCTACGAAGGTAAGCGGGAAAAAGGAACTTGAATAAAAATACACTTAGACCATTTTTTTAATTTAAATATGAATAAATTGTTCTCATTGTATATGGATCTTTACAAGCGTAATTGCTCATTGTATTTACATGAATAGCTTCGCAATTATAGATCTATTGTAACTACTTTGCGCAAAAAAAACTTAAAAAAAAAGCGACATGAGGTAGGTAGCGGAAAAGATTCTGAAAGCAGTGTTGTGGAGTTGAGAGAACGCTATTACAGACATACCAATAGTTTTTTGTTTTTATAAATTAAGCGGGATTCAGGAGGAGTTAAGGCGTTTGCGCATATATTACTCCTTCTAGGTGTTCAGCGAGATGCTCAGTGATTTGGAGCCTGGTCGAGAACATCCTCGCGACTGGGAGTTTTTACAAGAACTTCAAAAAACTTGCCACGCTATGCAAACGAGACTCGTTGATCTCGTTGACAAAGTTGCCAACGAGGAAATCACCAGTAAGTGATTTGACTCTTCCGCACCGCATTTTTATCTAGCAAGAATCGGTAGATACTTTTGAGTATAACCCATAGATTATACTATTATATATCTGTAGAACCATAAAGTTGAATTCAAATAAATATATAGTAATCAATCTGTAGTGTTAGAGATTTGTTTTTCTAGAATCTTTCTCAGATTAAGATATTTTTGTTTCATTCTTACACCGTGCTTCAAAGTAACATTTTGGCCCTAGCTTGGCTGTGTGTGATGGGTGTTTTAAAACAAGATGCCGTTCTAGCAGAACCCATCGAACCTTATTCTAACACTATTACCGCTAAATGAAACCGCTAAGAGTGTTGCATTGTAATGCATTTCACGGGTTATTCGGGTCAATGTTTTGTTTTTTACAGGCGAACTTCTTCGGTTAAATGATGGAATGAATAGCCTTTTTGCTCGCTACGAGCGATTCGAGAAAAGACGCACGGCCGTCGTCACTGGTGCTAGTGGGCAACATTTGAATTCAGCACGTAGCAAAGACACGCCATCTTCACCAACAGCAGGGGCCGTTCGGGGGGGGGATGCACAGGCATCGCTAATTGACTTTGGCGGCGAAGATGTTGCTGGCGCGACGGGCGGCTTGCACAGTCTTAGTAAGTCTTAAAATTCAAGCCGGTTTTTATCGATATATGTAATTAGTTATTGTAGACAAGTAGCTTACTAATTACAATGAAACAATATGCATTGTAAGACAATGTTACTATATTGTATACATGTACAGTAGAATACCATAATGCAGTGATCATGATTGGAGGATATTTACAAAAAAAGTCAAGCGAAGCCCGAAAACCCAGTGCCAAAACAAAACATGATTATTTGGCTATGTTCATATGTTGCCATCAACTACAACCGTTCATTTATAAAATCAGACTAGTGTGACCTGGACTCCGGCCTAAACCTTTCGTTTTTAACGATAAAATTTCCATTTACGATCGCTTTGTTATCGAATCCACCGCCGGTTTATTTTTTATGAGAAGCAAATACCATCGGCGAATTAGATCAGTTGAAGACGATGTTTTGTAAGTAAGTATTGTCTAAAGAAACGACAGGACGCATAGCTACGTTTGGTAGTAAGATATGTAGTTGAATCAACAGAGGCTTCAGTGGTATGTGAACTTCCTAATTCTGCTATCAGTTCTTCGTCAATTTCGTCCACTCGCATGTACCAGCTAATACACGCGGTAAAATAATTAACGTACTCTTACTTCAATTTCAGAATGTTTGATTTTGATTGATAATTTATTTCTTTATGTACTCGCTCAGGTACGATCGCATACAACTAGCGAGGTCCTATTTTTTTTTGTTTATTTAGGGTTCTGTGTATTAGACTTTAAACGAAAGCTCGTACATCGAGTGCGAATATAGGTCGTCCACAGGTCGTTTTTCAATAAGACGATAGGCTCGTAGGCTAGCTTAGTACCTTCTTGCACTGCTATACTTGTGATTTTTTATAGAAAAAATAAAATTGACTAAACATTAAAAAAAAATATTACGAATGAGTCAAAAAACAATGTTCATCTCTTCCGGTTTTTCCTGTTCCTCGTTTATTTTTTGTATTTTTCAATTAACCATCGAAGGGCGCGCCGTTGCGATGCTGAGCAACATTTTTTGAAACGTCGTAGCCACTAATTCGATTCGACTAATTGCGGCGAATCACAAACATAGTGCCGGAACGATCCTGTAATTGTGACAATTTTATCTGGCTCAGTCTCTCCTGGAGAATGTAAAACTTTTACGAAAAAGTATATATCCAATGAATTTGTTTAATGTATGAGCCGCTGTGGTCGACAGTCGCCATTTCTTCTTTCGATGACCTAGATAGCCTTCTGATAACCTTCTGATACTGCTATAGGGATTGTTAGTTTTTTGTCTTCTCGTCCTTATTGTCGTTATTAGAAACCCGGCTGTTGTTTTCGGCATTGAAAAATTATCTTCTGTATTAGAGTTCCCTAAAAATACGATTGCTTTATCTATATAAAACTGTTGTAAAGTCCTCTGTTTTATTTTAAACCGGAAGTTTCGTGAAACATGTCATTTTCACGTCAGCAGCTAGAACTATGTTTATTTATATCTTCTCTCCGTTTTTTCTTTGATAAAACTTGTTTAAGAAACAACAAATAAAAAAACCAGTGCTTTCTTACTTTCTCAGCAGCGTTTGTGCGGCTTCCTTGTGTGCGTTCCTCTTTCTGGGGTTTGAAAGTAAAATGCATATTGCGAAAATGATATGTATAGCAGTTGTACGTCATGTACAATATAATGACACACACCATGTTGTGGGCCAAATCAGGCCAAATATCGGATTTACGCATTATCTAAAAACATAGACATACTCTGGGCTTTAATAAGCGTTACTGGATTATATTGGACACGTAAACGCTAGCCAAATCATACATAGTTTCATTGTGAGGTGACGACGGATTTCTGTTTTTCTTCCTCTACTTAGCCAGTTTTATGAATGTGCGTATTTGTCCTCTGTCGAATTCGCTGCGGTTCTAGTGAATATCTGCACTACCGAACAGGTTACCATCTATGTTGCTGGACATGTTTGTTTAGGCCAAGAATCTTTTGTTGAGCTAAACCAATTGGTAGCATGAATATACCCTATTTTTATTTGGGAGATTTTTGCTCAGGTATGAGTATTCCACACTGATAGATGCTAAGAGTTACCGTTCAATCACTATTAGTAGAGACTCTTTAAGACGAATTAGTATATAGCCACTAGCTAACGATTCATGTTGCCGTTTTTCTGCTGTGCGTGTTGTTTGTATAACCACGATTGTTTCTAATCAGGTCTAGTTGAAGCTGGCGCAACAGACGGCTCTACAAAACCGAAGAATTGTGCTGGAGCGACGGCAACGACTTCCGCAGGCCCAGTTGGAGCAGCTGGGGATGCCGACGAATTTGAGGCTTTTGCTCAGTCACGGACCTTCTCAGCTAAGGTACGCGGTCAGTCGTATATCGTCGGTATGTCAACGACCGTTTTTGTATCGTATTTGAATAATTCTGCAGACGAATTGTCATCTGAGAACGAATCGCTGTCGACTAAGAATGAAAACGACTGAAGTGTGCAATGTACATAGATGTAGATTTTTTAAAATTATTTTTACCATATATATATATAATTTTAAAATATATTAATATATATTATATTATATAAAAAATATATATACATTTTATATATAATATAATATATATATTTTTTAACGGATTCTAGTGTACTTTGTTGAAAAACATAGATGCGCTTGACACTACAGATTTATCCCCAAAAAACTGTTCGACTTACTTATATACAACCTCCAACAATTTGTCCAGGCATACTTTGTTATCTAGAAGTCAATAGATTTTTTCGTTTTACTGGTGGTTTCGATTGTGTTTCATTTTTATAACGTTACGAACGTTATGCACGAACTCCCACTTTTTTTTATTTATGAATTTGGTTCGCATTGGTATGTACTATTGGTGCTGTTATTTCTGTGACCTTATTGCGATTTCCCAACATGTCCGCTGCTTAGTTCGCTACACCGGAAGCTATGAAAACCCTCCTTCCTGATAACGCCACGGATTTTGAGGAGATGGAACGGTGGCTGGAAGCTCAGGTATAATTCAACATTCTGGGTTCCATTTTAAGTGTACAGTTTACTTTTCTTTGTGCAAACCTTTATGATTCACCTTCTTCTTTGACGCGTTCTCTCGTTATGTATCCATTACATATATATTAATGTGTCACGACAAATTTGCATATTTTTCTAACAGGACTCTGAAGGACCTAAGACAGCAGTAGGGGATGGTGCTGGCGCCGCAAGCGGTTCAATATCGACGACTGCCCGTAGTGGAGCAGCGGCAGTGTCTTCGCCAGAGTTCGATCGTTTCCTCCAGGAGCGAGCGACTGTAGCTGAACGACTACCAACAATCCAAGCTCAGGCAGGTGCCAAGGAAAAGACGCCTAAAGACGACCCCAACCTACTTGCCCAATAGACAGGTGCCGTGCACAGAAGTACTACTTAAAACCACACTACACTGAAAAGAATGAGCCAGACAAGGTGAAAAGGGAAAGGCCATGCAGAGCAGGCTGACCCTGGGGATGCAATAGAGAGAAACATAAACAGTAGATGAGCACATAAATAAGAGCGCCTTGTGGTGTGGGGAAATCACTTCTTTTTTAAAGCGGTCAACGAATCTGGCTTACAGAACTGGTTTATTGTGTTTGAATTAGATGTGTTTTACGCTCATGAAATATCTTTATCGATCGAAGGTTTGTTTATAAGTACACATAGACTTGTCAGTAACGACGTACCAGTAACAGCAGCGCTCCATAATCTAGGGTTACCAGGTGGCACTACCCTATGTGAAAATCAAGCGCGCGCGTAACGTTGGTTCGAAGATCGCGAAAATGTCAAATATAATAGTTATAGAATTTTTGCACGGGATCGTTTTTTGTGCAACGTATTCGCACTAAGACAAATGCAGACATTTTTTATGAATGGTGGCTTCATCTATATAGTCTGTTGTAGCTTGCTTTCTAGTGGTTGCGTGTTAATTTTTTCGCAGAAAAAAAACCTCAACTTGGCTATTTACCACACCCGTTCAACAAAACATCCTAATTGTAAGACTGGCAGCTTTGCTCACTACACGAAATCGGTATGTAGTGATTCCGTTAACTTCGCCTTCGATACACTCGTGCCCGTGACACGGATGGGATAAGAGACCGATTAGTTGGTATCGAGCCGCCACATGTTGTTAGATCCGGCACCGGGCCGTAGGCACTGCTACTGATGTTACAGGCTTTACACTCAAGTGGTGGCGGCGGCAAAAAAAAACATAAACATACACGAATGAATAGATGCATAAATAAGTACTCTCGATGAGGCATAGTTTTTTCACAGTTGTGAGTGTTGGACCAAACAAGGGTCTTAAACATTTTGGCATGGACAACGAAACCTTAACAGGATGACAAGGACGAAAAATTGTCGAACTAAACGTACGCGCTATTAATAAATAGATGGGCAAGCAGAAATGTAGCTAGAACTAAGACACAAAAAGGAAAAGAGATAGTCAGAGAACGAACCGCAAAAGTGACCAAGGGCGCATAATCGTACGTTTTTTTTTTAGTAATAATTTTGTATAACCAAAAACTATGCGATGACGCTCTAATGTCGGTGGTATGGAGAATACGATATTTTAAGAAAATAAGAGGTCAGTAAAAGCGGAGCATGGAAAAAAGAAAGAAGAATTAAAGAAACTAAAACAAGAATTAACAACCACATATA